CTACCTACCTACCTACCTACCTACCTACCTACCTACCTCTTAATCTCACTGAAAAGGACAGAAGTGGTTTGGAGAGAGTAGCAGTGATCTAGGGATAAAATGTCCTGGGAGCTGGCAAATGACAACAGCAGTGAGTGCCAGTGGGTGCTATAATCTGATGACATGAGATACAAAGATGGGGAGGGGGTTGAATTAAGCAAGGAGGGTGGAAGCAAGGTCCAAAAGTGGCAACGAAGAGTTGGAGGCCCCTTGAGAGGGTTACAGGGCGTTTGAAAACTGTAAAGAGCTGTAAAATGTCATGTATTGTGATTTTAACATACGATTAAAAAAACAAAACAAAACTTGCTGCTGTTGAGTCTATTCCAACTCATAGCAACCCTATAGACCAAAGTAGAACTGACCCATAGGGTTTCCAAGGCTGTAATCTTTACAGCAGATAGTACATCTTTCTCCCAAGGAGCTGCTGGTGGGTTAGAACCACCGACGACCTTTCAGTTAGCAGCTGAGCGCTTAACCACTGTGTTACCAGGGCTCCTTTTAATTAACATATGGTAAATAGTGATGAGTATTGCAAACTCTTTTAGAGAATTTTTTTGTACAAATACCCAGGAGAATTTTCTGTCTCCGGCACCCAAAAGTAATGAATTTTTTTTTCAATCAGTGAGTGAATGTTTCACAGCTCCAAGAGACAAGGTAACAACCAGAAGGGTTTTTCAGCAAAGTCCCTTTATTTTCTACATAACAAAGTTATCAGATATTGGCACCACTGGTAGTTTAGACCTCTGATGGTGAGGTTTATTTCCTTTACAGATGAACTCTTTCAAAAGCCCAAGAAGAGATTTGAAGCCCCCTCCGACTATTTAAGAAAAACCCAGAAACCAAACCCATTGCCATTGAGTTGATAAGAGGAGGGCACCAAAAGAGATTTGTCCCCTGAGAAGTACTTTGGGCAGGACCTGGTCTCCTTGATGTGGCATTTGTCCTCCTTATATATCTAAGGTGATGAGCAGCGATGGTTCCAATTGTAACTTCTCCATTCTCATTTGGAGCTTAGGAAACATGAGCTTCTTCTTTGCTCACCTGGATATTTCAAATAGCAAGGATGTGACAATGCTTATCACACAATGCACAAAATAAAGAGTAGAGAGTAATCTTTATGTATTCCTTCGTTATAACAAATAACTAATTTCTCTTTATTCCTTTGTTTTTATTTATTTTTTTAACCAGAAAGTTCTTCTAAATCAGGAATATATTGAAATCTAACGAACACAAATTTTGGGTAAGTTTTCATGTGAAAGTTTTGAATTAAGTTTATTTTCCTTATTATATAGCAATAGATAGTCATTGTAGAAAGTTTTCAAAGAAGAAGAAAATAATTTTTAAAAAACCACTTGGAGGAAAATACTCTTACTATCTTGGTGTATTTCTGTCTGCTCATTCTTCAATGAAAGGAGCCCTGGTGGTACAATGGTTAAGTGCTTGGCTGCTAACTGAAAGGTTGGCTGTTGGAACCCACCTAGCAGCTCCACAGGAGAAAAACCTGGTGATCTACTCCCATAGGATTCTAGACTAGAAAACCCTACTCTGTCCCACGGGGTTGCTATGGGTCAAAATTGACTCGACAGCACCCAACAACAACATTCTTCAGTGATTTTTTTATATAGTTGCTATCAAATATATGAACAACTTTGTATTCTGCTTTCCTTTACCTAATATATTTATAACATTAAAAATAAGCATTATCTCTTTTTATTCAAACATTTCATAAACATTTTACAATGGCTACATAAATGAAAATGTACAAATGGAGGTATAATTGACAGGGTTGAAAATATTTATGCTCCAAACTGTATGTCCTGTGTATATTTTAGATCCTATAGTCATAACAATGAGGGAAAAAATCTGAATTAAGACATTTCAGAGTATTAGAATGCAATATTTACCCTCAATTAGCAGGAAGAGATGACAACCAATTGTATCAGTTTAAAAGATTTTGTTAAAGTGTATATTTCTATTATTTTGACTAGCTTTATCTCTGAGATTCATTTATTTACTCAACAAACATTTACTATGTCCCTATAGCTTTTGAGGTCCTGGGAACCTAGAGATAAATTATATATGGTCTTCATCCTCAGGGCAAGGGGATAAGTACTATAATTTGGGGAAAGACCAAATTATATGCCATGAGCTTTCACTTTCTTACTTAATCTTTCATCATCCTCTTTCCATCAGTCCTAAAGGGAAGTGGTATTAGCCCCATTTAGAGATAAGGAAACTAACGTTCGTGCCAGAAAGATTGTTATTTTTTGGAGCTGACACAGAGTGGCAGGACTAGGATACAAACCCAAGTTTGTCTGCCTCAGAAGCTCACCTCTTTTCACTCTTCCAGGTTGCCTTTTGACACTTACTACACAGCACAGGAGACGGGTATGAGCAGCTAACTATAATGTGAACAAAATACTGTGATAGCAATTAATTCTGCCAGAATCAAGAAAGTTTTTAGGGAATGGCATTATAATTTAAGGCTTGAAAACTGAGGATTTCATTAGATAAAAATGGGGACAGGAGCATTCATTCACTCATTCATTCACAAATCTGCATTGAGTTTCTACCGTATGCTCATCACAGCGATAGGTTCTGGAGGTACAGAAGAGAATGAATGAGACACTGGCCACCTCCACGTGTCAGAGTCTACAGGGAGACAGTTAAGTAAACTGACACTTGACACAGCCTGGTGCCAAGTGCTGCCACAGAATTGAGAACAAAGCTCAGGTGGACACTTCTCCAGCAGACGTAGGTCAAGTTCTCAGCTGCAGCCACTATCCATCCCTCTGTAGAGGCTTGCGTGCTGCTGTGATGCTGAACGGGTTTCAGTGGAGCTTCCAGACTAAGGTGGACTAGGAAAAAATTCCTGGTGATCTACTTCCAAAAAATCAACCATTGAAAACCCTATGGAGCAGAGTTCTACCCTGACACACAGCAACTGGTTACTGTTTAAGGACAAGTCCACAAACGACAGAAGCTACACTGCATGGCAGGTAGTGCCGAGCTTGGCAGACTGGGCCCTCCATGCCAAGTTCAGGGATTTGGATTTTATCCTAGAGGTAACAGCAAGCCAGCAGGGGTTTCTAAATAGGGAAGTGGCATCATCAGGTCTGTTTTTAAGATCTGGCAATGAGTGAAGGAGTATGGGGATGGGGAAAGAGACAGGTGGTAGAGAGACTGGCCTAGAGGCTAATGGTCAAGCTGGCAATAGTGAGAGCCTGAACCACACAGCAAGAAGAGAGATGAAGACAGGAAAGACCATATTTATGAAGTAAAGTTGGCAGAATTCGTCAACTGTAGGACGCGTAGTGAGAATAAGGAAGGAATCTAGAGAACAGTGTGAACAAAGGCTTGGAATCATGCACATGTTGTTTGCAAATGAAGGACCCACAGAGCATTTAATAAACGGAAAGTGATCTTTTGAATCATCAGTTTCTTTTATATGTTAGATTGTTCTAAGATACTCTAATTGTTTAATAGGTGTTTTTTTTTCTCCTCCCAAGCAGTTTAAATATGCCTTGCAATGTTATATACACTGTTAATTTGCTCAGTAAACTCTCTACAGATTTTTTTTTTTAACTTAGCAAATTTTCAGTCCCACATTGGTAATTTTCATCCTTGCTAAATTGAAATTTAAACTGTTTTGAGACAGTATAATAATGATTTTTTCTGTGATGGAATTCATAAAGATTAATGGATTTTTACTGAAATGGAGTTCAAAAAGAATTTCTAATTCTTAATAATTACTGTCTTGTAACTTATTTAGATCTTTTTTGTTTTGTAGAGTGCAGAGATTTGTTTTCATTAGTAAGCTAAAATATACCAGTACTGGTAATATGTACAGACTAACATATGGTATATAGTTGCTGTCATGTTGATTCCAACTCATAGCAACCCTATAAAACAGAGTAGAACTGCTCTGTAGAGTTTCCAAGGCTGTAAATCTTTATGGAAGCAGACTGCCACATTTTTCCCCAACGGAGCAGTTGAAGCAGCTGGTGGGTTCGAACTGCTGACCTTTCAGTTGACAGCTGAGCTCTTAACCACTGAGCCAGTAGGGTTCCTTTGCTGGTATTACACATCCAGTTAAAAATGATGTCGCTTATACCTGTTCTGACATATACTACCGGAAGAGGGCGGCAGTGAGGCACTAGAAACAGCAACAAAATTACAGGGTCTTAAATTGCGGAAAGGCATTAAGACAGAAGGTAATGTGAATAATGTAAGCATTTGTTGTTGCTGACATGCTTGATTAAAATCCAGAATAGAGACTCATTTTCTGTGCCAGAAACCATAACATAAACATAGTCACAGAATTTCTGGAAAATTTGATGGTATCATCATATTGCTTAAGGCAAAACGTGGACATTTCTGGTAAGACTGATGTGTACCAGCGCTCAGAGATGTTCTGAAATTTCACATCAGTTTTAGAAGAACATATGAGAGGATAAATTAAACTTAAGTATGCTATTTCTCATTACTTCAAGAGCCTTGGCAGAGATTTTGATAGTTTAGAGACAGTGAAGGCATCTTATCTTTTTTGAATGTTACAGATACCCCTGAAATAAAAACAAATATGTTCAACTTATCAAATATGCAGTGGGCAATGCGTGGAATCACATAACTAAGAGTGGTTGCCTGAATTCAGTTGTTTCTACTCTTATAAACATTTAAAAACAACAAGTATTTTTTGAGTACCTAATATGTGCTAGGAATTATGCCAGTTATGGAGGCTAGAGGAGGGAACAAGACAGACATGTTCCCTGCCCTCTTGGAGTTTATATCATAGTGGGGAAAATAAACGCTAAACAAAAAAACGGCATACTTGAGAAAAACAAAAAATGGAAGACAATCTACCACAGGGCTCCAAATAACTTCGTTTGGGCTCAACCTCAAAATATGAAAGTAGAAACAAGACCCAAGAACAACATATCTTAGGTACTTAATACCCATTTTTATTATTTATTTCCTTTAACAATATATAAAATGGGTAAGGTAACATTTATAGTCTTAGGAACACAACAACATTGCTAAAGAGTATTTGAGTCATTTCTGTGTGACAGTAAAATGCTCTGCTAATTTAAAGTGTGACAAAATACTTACGCCTCCCTGACTAATTCAACTTGAGCAAACTCCACGTTCGTCACTGGCCCAGCCACAGCCACAACTGAGAACCTGTCTTCACTTAATCCACTCTAAATTCCAAGATCCCAAACCTGAAAATCCCTTGAGTAAATATAATCCTTTCCTGTCTTTTTTTTTTTTTTTTTTTTTTCTCTTTCTATTCTCCTGAAAGAGCTTGTTATCTTCATTGGTGTCTTCAATAACCCAGATTCCCATTTTGCCCAGCCTATGAGCTACTTCTAGCCTCTCTAGCTTCCGCCTGAGTTTAGACGTCTTGGTTAAATAGGTTAGCTGTATTTTTACAAGCACTTTAGACTTTTATTTTGTCCCTTTGACCCCCACTGTATACACTTCCCAGACCTGAGTTGACTCATGTGTCTAGCCCAGAGCTAAGACAGTCCCACAGCTGACTCTGATTGGATGCATTGCCCATGAGCCATAGCTGAGCCCTCAGTGAGACTCCATGAGTCTTTTTTTTTTTAATTTTTTCTTTTATTGTACTTTAGGTAAAGGTTAACAGAACAAATGGTTTCTCATCAGTCAGTACACATATTGTTTTATGACATTGGTTAACAACCCCATGACATGTCAACGCTCTCCCTTCTTGACCTTGGAGGACCTTTTTTT